TTCTTAACCCCAAGCCTTGTGGGATATCCAATCTCCACATCTAAATTTTATTTTTTGGTATTTAAAAAAAAATAGCATTTATCAACTTCCCTCTCAACCCCCAAATTTATCTTCACAATAATATAATCGCATTAAGTACAGAGTATGAAAAGAATTCTTGGAAATCCCGAACGAATATGATTTCCTTGCAAAAGTCCCAACAACCTATGTGATATTATCCTCATAAAAACTTTAATGCATTAAAGAACCAAACCTAATTTTTTTTTTGAAAGCCAAACACATACTGAATTATTATCAAAATATTAAACTTTAATATAATGTAATAATAATAAAAAAAGACATTTTAATTCCTAAAAAGTTCAAACATAGACTTCATTATCAAATATTAATATTTAAGGTATAATGTGAGTAAAAATGAAAAAAAAAAGAAGCCGACTTTTTAAAAAAAAAGACATTTAAAAAATTGCAATTCAACATTATAGAATTGAAATATATAAGGAAAGGGGTTTCTAAACCCAGCCGTATGGTGCATTCCATATCTCATATCTTAATTTTCTAAAATTTTTGATTTAAAAAAAAAACTTAGCATTTATGATTTGGTCAAAATCCCATTGATCAGTATTTATCTAATTTTGTTTCAATCCCAGCGTGCTTGCATTTAAATTGATTGTGGGTCAGAATACCTGATAGCATTTAAAAATCCCCTCATACAAATAATAAGATACAGGCTTGTGGCGATAGGTTACGCAGTGCCTTTTTAATCTTCTCCTGTACACCTATGCGTTAGTGATAAAATTGTTAAAATTATTATCCGTGCCATAAAAATAAAACAAATATAAATATTTACAATTTATTCCGATGCAATATCGGTGATAGGCTAGTGTAGTGGTGTACTACAGTATGCACGCCTTTTCAACTTGCTTAGCATACATTATGGGGTCTCGTGATAAGATTGGTTAACATTGATTTGTGTATAAAAAATCTTTAAAAAACATAATTATTATATATAAAAGAGTAGTAAATACTAAATTATCCCTCGTACATAGCACGAGTGACTAGCTAGAGTTATCTATCATATGTGAATTGTGATTTTAAGTGTTTTTTAATGTCTTCTTCTTTTTTTGTTATATTATATTAAACGTTTAAGTATTTTGATAATAATCAATCGGTGTCGTTGATCTTTTCAAGAAATTTTTTGTTGTATGATGCGTGATGGTTTTGATAGGATTAAAGTGCATATGGAATGATATATTATGGTAGGGATTTCACAGAATTATATTGTTGGATTTTCGATCTATGTGATTTTAATAAGATTTTTATTTTAACTTGTTCGCATTAAAGTGTTAATTCAATGAGTAAAACTTGGGGTGTGAGAGAGATGTAGGAGGTGAAATGTAAATTGTGTTTGGTTTTGGTAAATCAAAAATTAAAAAATCAATTTAAATTAGGAAGATTGGCTCGCTACAAGACTTGAGGTTAAAAACCTCCTTTACTTTTATATATTTATAGAGTTACAATCACCGTGCGTGATCGATGTTAGATGAATTAAGATATTAGAATTATGTTTTTAATTTGTGATAGTGAGATATATATGTATTTTAGATTTATTATAAAAATCAATTTAACAATCTTATCAGCTGAACTGTGTATTGATGAGAGAAGTTTTGAAAGGATACTTAGTTAACTATACTACGGATTGAGTATCTATATTATTTGTATAAGGAGATTTTTAAGGCCAGTTTTTGGAAGTGTAAAAAACAAGTTAAAAATTCAAAACGTTAATTAAACAAATTAAAATTATCACTATCACCCAAAAGTTAAAAATTACACGGACTTTGCGACAGATTCTCAATACTAATTTCTCCTAACACTAATTTATACTATTTTTAATACACTTTAATTTCATAAAAAGTCGTCATAAAAGTTTTAATCTAAAGAGCATCCATATTTATCTCCCTCAATTTTTAGTCCCAAAAAGACAAAAAGTACACTTATTAATACTCCAAACAACCCCTAAATGACTATCGAGAAAATTTTAACCAAATCAATAAAATGTAGGCATGTGAAAGACACGTGATCTGAAAAAGTTAAGTATACATGCCTGTATTTAGCAGAATTTCTTAACAATAATCATTAAATGTTAGAAATTTTTTTTTTAATAGAAATTTAAAATAATTCAGATTGAGCTCATTAAATCTCTGAACTGCATTTGAGTTGATTAAAACTAATATTCTTTTCTGACTATATAATCAGTGTGATATAGTCTCTAGCTAAAAGGATGACCACTAACCAACCTCTAATGAGCTGACATCCAGAAAAATAAAAAAGAAAAAAAAAAAACAAAGCAGCAAAATATCAAAATCATTTAGACACAGATTTCTGAACATTAGAGCTCACTGTTTGAGCTATAAATAGATATAGTGATAGATAGATAGTAATTGAATTGATTAGTGTTGCAGAGCGTTAATCGGAGAGGCAGAAAACATTGGACATTCAACGAATCGTATGGGCCTGGCGTCGGCCAAGCATTTTCCATTATCCAACCTCTTTCACGCTCTGATCTTCTGTCTGCATTCATTCGTCTAACCTCTGCCCTCCTCCATCCACGGCGATAATCTCATCTCGTTTTGTCTCCATCGCTTCGGCTCGCGGAGCATCGTTCGCGCATTCGCAGATGAGCACGCACCGTTCAGTACAACGTTCTGAAGCATGTGCCTGCAGGTAGGTGCCTCTCTATTTCCCCTCTTTTTTGTCTCTCTTTCCCGTGATTTCAGCCTCTAGGGTTTTCTGATAGTGTTGCTTATTTGCAGAGAGAGAAAAGAGACAGGAGAACGAGAGAGTGAGCAGAGAGAGAAGAGAGAGAGGAAAGAGAGGAGAGTGGTGCCTGGCAGAGAAGCATTAGACTAAGACGAAATGACAATGGCTTCTTTGATCAACAGGTCTTTGACTTCTATCTGCAACTCCAAATCAGCTATTGGCATCGAAACTCGATTTCCGAGTCCTTTTCTCGTTGGGTTCACTTCTCCGATCCTCATCAATTCCGGGAAGGTCTCTTCTTCGATAGTCTGCAAAGCTGTGTCTGTGAAGCCCCAAACTGACATTGAAGGCCTCAACATTGCCGATTGCCGATGAAGTCTGAGCATGATAAATTTTTTGTTGGAGGATTCCTTAAATTGCAGTTACTTGTAGATTTTGATCTTTCCTTTTGTTCAAGAGAAATGGAGAATGTTAGTATGGCACTGTTTACTAGGTTCATGAGGGCATAATGTATTTTTCTAGTAAATTCTTGTGGCAAATGATGAAATTTTTTGTCGTTTAAATATTTAAGAATCCACAAATGTCGCCAGTTAAAAAATTGTTTGTTTCATATTTTTTTTCCGTTTAAATGTTTTAGATATTTCTATCAAACACTTTGGTTTTGTATGGCTTACATGTAAGTTTTTAATTTTGAGGTATGGTGGAATTTCTTTGTTGGTTATTGATTATTTTAAAATCTTTTGCGTAAAATTTGTCATTTTAAATTAATTTGTTGTTCATATAAAGGTTTCGTGAAAGGACTATGATTACCTTTGTTTCTTGAGTTTCTAAACTTTTTTTTGTTGATGAAACTGTAGCTCTTACATCAATTTTGATTTTTTTGGGCAGAATGGTTTGCTTTTGTTGGTAGAAAAGTAGGCCTTAACGTGCCAGGTTCACCCTATTTAATTGATTTCCAGCCAACTGCTCCTGAGTCATCTAGAATGAGACTTATGAACGTGACTACTAATTCGTGTGGTGATTACTTCACTTGGCTGTTCTTGTGGTGATTGCCCTGCGGCTCCTGTTTGCTCTGATTCAGCTCCTCCTTCCTCTGTAAAAAAAGGCTCCTGTTCAGTGAGAATTGAGTCTCTTAAGGTGAGAGAGAACTCAATATGGAATGGCTCCAATTTACAACCGGTCTATGGAATAATTGTTTGTATGGAATGTGGATGTATTAGGCCATTAATGTACTATTTAATTTACATTCTTAATCACTAAATGGTATCATGCAAGGCATAAATTTTAGATTTTAATACCATTTTCTGTATTGGTTTTACTGTCAATGGCTGCAGGCAAAATGTATTGACTTTGCTGTTGCGATTGTGTACATCATATTAGTTTCTGTGTTTCTCGGATGGGGTTTTTTTCATCGAAAAGTGGAGAGGAGCCCAGCTAATAGAACTAGACATGTATTGAACATTGCAAATAATCATGAAAAATACTCTGCCAACCAGCAAAAAGATGAGAATCCTTCCAATTCAACCTAACAAGCTTTGGTCCCAATCATAATTCCTATAAATCAAAATTAAAGCAAACTATGTCTCTTAATATCAAGACTTCTTATCGTAATCCAAGATTGCATTCAGATTTTGCATTATTAATCTTGTTGGTCACTGCTCACACTCATAATGTCACCTCTAGGTGATAGTGTGAATATACATACATGCTTTTGGGGAGAAGTCAGTCAATTCCTTTTTGCTGAAATTCACAAGAGTTGTGAAGTGGGTACTGGTTATTTCTTAGAGTTTTGACTTTGAACTAGCAAGTTTTTCAAATTGATCATGTGTTAATTTAAATTCAGTAGAGCTATTGAAGAATTAATGGAAATTACGAAGTGGATTGCTTTTATTTTCTATTTTGGAATTTTGATTGTGAAAGGACTAGTTTTGAAATTGTTTTGTTGTTACTTAGAATTAGAATAGTGTTTTACTTTAGATTTGGTTGTTTTATTGAAAAATTAATGAAAATCAGAATAGGGTTTGCTTTCATTTATTTTTTTATTTTTACTTAAGTTTTTTGTTATGTCATGTAGATCTTGCAATGAAATTGGGAAACATTACAAAGCACCATAGTGGAGGAGACATTGAGAATCCTGCCGACTGCTTTATTTTTGGTTTGACTTTTGGTAAGCTTTGAACCTTTAATCTCAATACTACATATTCTGTTGAGTGCTAGCCTGTTGGGTTTCGATCTTCATTACTATTTGGCATTAAATTTCCATAGTAATTTGTTGAATTATGGTGGTGGCTGGCTAGTGGTACTTAGGACAACAGGTTTTTGGATGTGGCAAATATAATCAGAGCCGACCACATAAACACAAGGATCATTGTTCTGGACTGACCAAGAGTTGATTGTGGTATTAGGATTGATTATGGACATACCGGAGTATAAAAGGGTAGTTTGTAACAATCTTGTCCCACATGGGAAGTTTTCATGGGTGATCTTTTGTTTAAATGATACTTAAGC